TTGTAAGTGAATTCTATCATATGTTTATCTACAAAGTCACATGATGTAGTCTCTTGTGGATATATTAATAGAACATCATTAATATATTGGAAATATGCTGTTTATTTAGGTAAAATACTCCTGAAAGGAGCAGGTTCAAGAAATTTTAAGAAAATACAAGCTAAAATCCCACTCAGTGGTGAACCCATTGGTAATTCAAATTTTTACAAAAATTCCTAAAGGTGAAATAGTATTGATTGGTAATGAGGTGACAGGTTTTTATGATTTTAACTATTGGTAGGGAAAGGTTTATTTTTATTGGGTTAGATGCTTTTTTTTTAAAAGATATAGATTATATACCCAGGCAAAGAGGGGAATTATATTGTACATTTTTTCAGAAATTTTTATTCAGCTTAAAAAACCCTTTTATTTGAAACAGAAAGATTGCAAATCCACTCAGCACAATAGATAATAAAACACAAAGTAGGTGTTGATAACAATTGTTTACAAAAGGTATTTGATGTCTGACAATATTTGTTTTTCAGGGAATCAGTGTAATGTTTAAAATTAGAACAGATTTGCTCACAAGATAAAGTTTGTTTATATTTTTATATATTAATAAAGTCATTGAAAATAAAAAAGTATGATAAATTAGTTAACACCTTTAAAATGTATTACTGGAGTATGTCTCGTTAGCACCTTTACCCCAAATCAAGTTTTGAAATTAGGAAAAGAAACATGCAATGGGTAAAAATTCCAGTTCATTTCTATTTTTTAATATCATCGAAAATTAAATATTTTGGTGAAATATATGTATGACATTGGGAATTTAATGTATGATATGGAACAACTTTTCAAAAAAATTTACATAGGGATGGCTACACTACATGGTTGTATTTTACTCAAGGATGTAATTTATTACCTGTTTTAGCTTCAGAAACACAGGGTCATATTATACTGAAGAAAATACAGTATATTACATAAAAGCCATCTCCATAGCAAATGAATACAAAACAAAAATTCATAATGGATCAAGTAAAGCATTTGACAAAGCCAAGTGGATGCTGTCATAAATATTCAGGAAGTATTTAACAAGAAGTAAAGAGTTTCTTTCATTTGGATAAATAGTTTGCAAAATTGTGGTTGAAATAAAAGTAAAGTATATATATAAATATTCAATTAAAAAAATATCTTTTAAAAAACATTTAATTCCAAGCAAGGCGATAAAGTCACTAAGACCTAAGGGAGGTTACTGAGAATGACGGAATATGAGAAAACATTAGTTATGGGCATCTTGGCTTCAGTCACATTTCCACCAATCCTGACATAGCTTCCCTGCACTTTCTCTATAAATATTTTCATGGTGATTGTTCTGATGAGCTTTCCTCCTTGATACTTCGATTGCATGAACTTAAGCACAGTATTAGATTGGCAGATAGGTCTTATCATTTTGCAGTTGAAATGGCTAGATGTAACCATAAAGTTTTAAGTTTTATTCTAATAGATTCTTCTTTTGCAATTCTCATTTTTGCTTTCCAGTCAACTTTAAAAATTTCAATGCAATGTTAATCATTATTTTCTGTCTTTTTAATTCCTGTTCTTTTATTTGTTCTCTCTCCCTTCAATAATGTTTTCTTTTTTTTTTTTCATATTCTCTCACTCAGTAACCACTTGCATCTTAGTGGATGTATTGTCTTGCTTGGAATGAAATAATTATAATAAAAAAAAACGGATTCAAGCAGACAGATGATAATTAATGTTGCATTTAAGCCTTTGAAGAACATATTTAACAGAAAAGCAAGAAGCTGAAAGAGTTCCACAGGTGAAAAGTACTACAGAAGATGCTTACACAGCAATTTTAAGAGAAAAATGATAAGATCTATCTGGTACTATGCTTAAATTCATGAAGTAGACTGTATTTGAAGGATAAGTAACAATTGTAATTTCAGTTTAAAGCATTAACCAATTGTTTAAGAAGCAAGTGATGCTGTTCATTCCAGAAAATCACAGATTGAACAAGATAGAACCTTTCACTTGGAAATTGGCAGGCAATGACATTCATTCATTTTATTGCTTGATTACACAGTGAAATTATCTTCAATTACTAACAGTTTGTCTTCTTTTTTTTTTTTTTTAAGGGCTTGTTAATGAGTCAATAACGTTCATTTATTTTACAAATAATATTGATGCATTAAACTCATTTTTTATTCTCCTATGTGCTGTGTCCCTTCAGGACATTGGTGATCATTACTCTGCACATCTTTCTACCTTGTGAGGCTCATACCAGTTTTACCCCCTTTGCTAAGGCTTTTGCCTTCTGTTCCACCATCCATTTACACAAGCTTATCAGGTAAGTGCCTCACAGCCTTTGCTATCTTTCTTGTCCTCAATATGCCCCCGTGAGGGTCAAGATTTCCAGTCACTTCTTTCTCATTGTGGATCCAAGGAATTGTAGCTATCTTTTCCTGATTTTGAGTATAAGTGTTCTTCCTGTTGCCATTTTCTTTAAGACTTCCATTTCGTTTACTTACTCCATCCATGGGATTCTCAGTATTCCTCTGTAGAACCACATTTCTGTTGCCTCCAGTTTTCTCCTCATCCCTGGGGAGATTGTCCAGCATCCATTACCATATAAGAGAATAGATATCACACAGCAATTCAGCACCCTTTTCTTTGTTTCTAATGAAATTTTTCCATTTCTCAGCACCTTGCTTAGCTTTTGGAATGTTTCTTTCATTTGTCCAATGCATGTTTGGATTTTCTATTAAAACACTTCCAAGATATAAACATCAATCAGATGCAGAAGTCCACATATCTCCAATTTGTAACTAATATCTGGTAGGATCTCCAGTTCTCCTAGAATAGTATCAATGTAGAAGTTGAATAAATCTCAGAAGACACATATTTGTCTCATACTCCTTTCTATTTTTATTTTATTTTATAGAACTACCCAATTTATTTTCTCTCCATATGCAAACAGTTTGCTCTTAGTGTAAGTTCTGGATTATTCTAACATTTTGTCCAAAATAGATCTCTCTTTTTCTCAGCAGTTCAAATAGATCCTTGTGTCATACCTTGTCAAATGCTTTTGCGTAATCTATAAAACTTAAAGTGAACATCCTTCTGATTTTGTATTGCTCTTTCTCATATTGTTCTGATCCTGAATAAAAATTGAAGTTTTCCTTTGTATTTTCATTATAGTAATTCATTCAAATAATTAACAACACTCTTCTTCCTCCCCTTTCTTAGGCACTCCTGTGAAGAATAGGGCCTTAGCCCCATCTTCAGCATTTCTGCTGTAGTTTCCACAGAAAGTAGGTTTTTACAGGGTGGAGTTGACAGCTCTGTGTCCAACTAGTTTGGAATTCAGAATTGTTGTTGTTCTAAATTAGGAGCTCTTGTATTGAGGTGGTAACCAGTCTACTGTACTATTTAACCTGTAGCAGGGGTAAGATAAGATGGATTTACAGCTTCCCTGATGGTATGTGTGTAAAAGTAAACACAATGAACTTGGCTGGAATTTGAAAATCACTTTCTTCGCTCACCCAATTACCAACATTAAAAGGGAACATTATTTTCAGATTCAATTCAGCATGTATTCAAGTGGCAGAACACTGGCCTAATGGATATGTCTTTTACCTGTAGGTTGGAGGTTCAAATCAAGACTAGATTCACTTAAGTTTTAGATTGACTGAGAACATGTTTGGGCAATATGTGCATCCATATGAATAAGCAGAATTTTTTTCCTTGATATTGTTTTACTAAATGTGTAAAATTCAAACACATGAAGGAACAAGTTGAATAACATTCTTTCATTTTATTAATATTTTTACTTGATTTCATATTGTGAATGAATTTTTCAAACAAAATAATCAGTGATGTCAATATTAGCCATTTCCTTATAAAGAAATGTTCAGCATTCATTGACCAAACAGCTTGAACTATTGTCAGTTGAAATTTATAAAATCTTTCTCTTAAAACAATTTTTCAGGAAAATAGGTTTCTCAAGCCCAGTAGCTGTTATCGCTCTTTCCAGTATTGATAGAAGTTTCCTTCGTAATCTTTTATTTGAAATAGTGTGAAATATCAGCATCTTGATTATGCTGTTATTTTCACTTCGAGTTACATGTGATAGCCATTTTAGCTGTTGCTGCAGTCAAAAGTCCTCTTGTAATGTTTTTTCTGTTATTTGGTACAGTTCTTTGTGATTCTGTAACACCAGTCCACAAGGTGTGATGAACTGTGGTCTTCACAAAAATCCACTCTCTAAAAGCCATTTTTAACCATTTATCTTAGAAAGTGGTTCTATACAGCTGACAGTTTAGATACTTCTGAGTGGGTTTGGTGCTGTACATGACATCCATATTAAAGTCTTGATCTAACGAGGCTATTTAAGAACATGACTAGAATTTAGAGGTCAATGTTTTGGCTTTGTTGCAACTTGTAGAATTGGACATACACTTTAAGTTAATAAATTCAAAGTATATTTTTTTTTAACTTAAAAGTGAACTTGCTGACACAGGATGTTTTTCGTTTCTAGCATACAACCAGGTAATAACCCTTGCAATACAAAAATACAGTTTGATTTTAGGTATATGCTTAGATATTATAAAATGTAAAATTGTTTATAAAGTTGTCTTTTAATAATTTCGTAAAAATGTCTAATTTGATTTAATTTGATTATAAATTCTGAATTTCTAGGATAAGGAATTGTTATTGAAACTCATGATATTCCTAAACATGGGCAGTGGAACAAGAACCATCTATCCCTGCAGATTAAATAGAGTTCAGTTCATAATTCCCTGAAAGTTACTTGGATCAAAAAGCACCTGATGAAGGCTGGAAAGCACAATAGCCAATATGTTGTGATAATAACAACAAAGATGAGGACAACAGTCCACATGTAAATAATGTAAATACAGATTATAAGGCTGGGTAAAAAAATATATATATAATTTTTTTTATTGAATCTGATTGAAAAACAAAAGAGTTATCCAATTGAGTAACTCCCAAAATACCTTTTAATTAAAATATAAGATCAAGAAAGAAAGAAAAAAAGAATAAAAAATAACTGACTTACCCAGGTAAGTACTGCAGATAAACTCAGCTATTTGGTTCCCTGATTTACTTGATTCTGCAAAATGACTCAGCTCTCTGTTTAACATTCGCTTGAACTGAAAAATACAAAAGTCATGTCACTTTTGATACAATATGGTGGCTAAGTAGGTTTTGTATATTCCTCAAAGAAATTAGATCCCCCCACCATTAATCAGTATGTACATTAATGGCTTCCAACTTTATTTTTTTTATTATTGTTATACTACTATTAAGTGTTTTAATTTACTATCTTGATTATTTTTTTCTCTCAGAATCACAAGTCTATGAATAAAGTAACTTCTTATTCAAGAAAGCAGGTTTCAACAAATGATGTTTTCCTGGTTCAGTGGACTTCCTAGACAACAAAATCAACTACTTAATTAACCATGATTAATTACATCACGGATAAAATGTTATTAAGAATCTATATAACTATGGTTAAAATGACCTTTCTAAAAAAACAAACAAAAAAAAAAGAACAAATGTAATAATGAAGTCATCAAGTCTTATATTTTGTTGACTGACAGTATGAAGAAACAAGGAAGTAGATAAACCTTTATTTGAATTGGTGTTTATGCTTAGTCTCTCTGTACTGTCAGAAAAAAAAAATGGAAATATTTAAGTAATTTTGCAATTGCATTGTTTATATTTTCTACATGAGTAATCTAGGATTTTTATCTACACAATTAACTATATTGTTGTAAGAAAGAATTCTGCTTTTTAAAATCATTAAAAGTAAAAAAATATCCCAAGAAAGTTAATACAACACAGAATGTAAAAAAAATGACTGCCATATTTAAAGTAATTCTGCAATTTCATTGATTATATTTTCTGTCTAAGTAATCTCGAACTTTTATCTTTATAATTAATTTTATTGTTGCATTTAAGAAAGAAATCTGCTTTTAAATCATGAAAAGTGAAAATATCCAAAGAAAGCTAACACAACTTGCATTGTCAAAAAAATGACAGCCATATTTAAGTAATTTAAAATTTTTAATTGGTTAAATTTTTTACTTTAATAATCTAAGAATTTTATGAATCTTAACTTTATTATAACATGCAAAAAAGCATTGCAGCTTTCAAAATCACTAAAAGTTAAAAAAGCCGAGGAAAGCTAATAAAAGTACAAAAAAAGTAAAAAGCAATATTAGCAACCTGATCTTTCCTACTTACTAATGAGATATTCTGTTATGTAGTTAATATTTTGCCTTCTGTTATCATAACAATAGAATATCTAATTTTCTCAAATATGGAGATAAGGATGTGGGACAGATTAATATATAGTTATGAGTTTTATATTATAAAATATATTCTCATTGATTTGTATATAAAACAGTGAATTTCTTTTCTTATAATTATATTACTGTGTGAAACTGACCCAAGTAATCTCTTTCCAACTGACAAAGTCTCTCTGTATAAACAGCACCATGTTCATGAGCAAACTGTCTATTCTCTCTTGCATAGTGTTTTTATGCTAAGCTAAGATAGAGGAAAATATTGCAGGAAACAAAAGAGTTCAGAACTACTCTGTCCAGGATTCACTGGAGATTAGATATTATAATCTCTTCACAGATGAAGTAACTTAAAAAAACAGAAATGTACTTTAACTGACAAATGTGAACAATAACATGGACAGAACATGTGAACAATAAGGAACTCTTTAAAAAAATAGGAAGATGAAGGAAATTTATACTTACAATCAGAAAGAGACAGTTGAAATTTATGAGACACATAATGAGGAAAGAAGGCTTAGAGTAGACATATTGTGTTATTTAAACAGTGAGATTAATCCTTGCTAACCAAGAGATTGGAATTATTACTTTGATTGGATCCAAACCTGTATTCCCTTTTTCAATCAGGAAAACCACTTTGAAGCTAAGTATGCTTTACTATTAGGCCACTGGAAACCATTGCAGCAAAAAGAAAAGGGAATACAGGTTCGATTTCTGTTGGGAAGGCCATTTTCTTTAGTAAGACTCCTAGCTTCTCAGTTGGTAGATATTAATTTCACTGTTTAAAAAAACAAAGATGTCTACTCAAACACATGTACCCACTAAACATGACATTTATAGTGATAAATAATGTTGGATTAAAAAGCATTAACTGCTTATTATTATCATCATCATCATCTATTACATCTTTCTTGGTTAAAACTGCATATTTTGTTTCGTCATATTGTGCATGTTCATCAGATTGGCAATGAAACAAAGATGAAGGCTGCTCGAATGCATTCAATAAAACCATTTATTTACTTTGCCTCAGAGTCTATCCTAACAGACAAATACATATATGTTGCAATATAAAGCATTTTCCCCTATATTTTCAGCAGGAATGCATGGTTTTCCGTAATAAACTTCAAAGACCTTCATTGAGTTTCTCAGCATAGTATAATCATATAATAGTAATATTATTATTATTATTCTTGCAGCAAAGCCTACAAAAAATACACTGCAAAGCTTTTACCATTGCTAATGGCAACCAAAATCATGCCATAAAATTTGTGAATGTTTTTGCATCTAAACCCTGTATATGGGAATATACAGCATGTTATATCCAACACTCAGTTAAGTAAGATCATTATGTCTAAATCTTTTATATATTCATTGAAATGCTATGATCTACCAATTGAGGCGATGAAAAAAATTACCATTATTATCCTTTTACAAAGAAACGCAAGGTTTACCATCCCAGGAATATATCTTAAAACATTAATATGGATTAGTTTTCAGTCTGGTCTCAACTGAGGGAAAGCAATTAAACAACTCTTTTTGTTGTTTCTCTAACACATTTTGGCTGGCATGCACTTTCATCCACACTGTGCACGTGGAAAGAACTAAGTGCTGTCGCCAAAATAATTCATGATGCTGAACATGTCACTAATGAAATAAGTATCTATGGGCAGTCATGAAAAAGAAATTAAAGTAAATAAAAAAGAGGAAATTTTAGGTAATCTTTTACCACTTTTTGAATTTCTCAATATTTTTGCCAATAAATATATTAAAACCTGGTTTAAAGATTATGAAAAATAAATTGACATGGACTTGGCAGTTTTGTAGTGAAGTTGAATGGAAAACTGAATTGAGCAGCTTTACATAAGTAAAGTCTTCATAAGTAAATATGGTGTCTGATTCTTGTGCATAATATAAATGTAGTTAAATGAGGTTATATTCCTCATAAAACACTAAATGCTTCATCTCAATATGCTGTTCTTGAATTCATGCACATGTCATCAATGTAAAAATCGTTATGCCCTTCTCACTGCTTCAGCCGTCTTTTATTCTACCAACATCATGGCCGAATGACCAATCAGAGTTCTTCACTTCATCTTCAGTCACACAGTCAAATGTCATCCTCCAGTTCGACCAATCAGCATGCGAATTGCTATTGCTAAGCTGTATAAAAGTCAATATTACAGACTCATATGGTTCTGGAATAAACTAAAGTGGGGGAAGGGAGATTCATGACATCTTCAAGGAACAAAATGTTGTTGCTATGTGTTGTGTACTGAGGTAAGGAACTTATTTTCCTTTGCACCAGATGCAAGCCACTCTGACTCATTTACTTCTATGTAATTGTTCACCACAATAAAGCATTTCACTTATCTGGAAATGTAAAAAGTAAGTGCTGAAAAGTTTTCAGCCTAATGAAGAAGCTCTTAAACAAAAAAAAAAAAAAAAGGATTCATGTTTAGTCACTTGTTTATATTTTAGGAAGTCAGTCAGTCTGAGAACTTTTCAGCACCCCTTGTAATGTCTGTTTCAAATAGAATTTCCCCTGGGTTAAATAGCCATCAACAATTGTACTAGTTTGCTTAAATTCAAATGTCTTTCTGTTCTATTTATTAGACTGAAGCATAAAAAATTAAAGCAACTTATGCGCATTACAAATTGAAGATGTCAACAACAAGCAGGTGCAATAGTTTAAATATCCGGGAAGTGTTTTAACAAAAGATGGAAAATGTGACATCAAAATCCAAACATGTATTGGACAGCAATTGAAAGCAGCATTCCAAAAGCTAAACAAGTAACTGAAGAATTGAAAAATTTCATTTGAAACAAAGAAAGAGTACTGGACTACTATGTTATATCCATCCTCTTATCCAGCAGTGAATATTGAACATTCTCCCCACATACAAAAAGAAAACTGGAGGCAGCAGAAATGTGGTGCTACAGAAGCATACTGAGAATTCTATGGATGGTGCAAGTAAGAAACAAGGAAGTCTTAAAGAAAATAGCAACAGAAACAATGCCTATACTCAAAATCAGGATGAGATAGCCATAATTCCTTGGACACATAATGAGGAAAGAGGACTTGGAAAACTTAGCACTCACAGGGTATATTGAGGGCTTGGGTGAATGGATTGTGGAATGGTAGAGGGAATCATAGCAAAGGGAGAAAAATTGCTAATAGCCACAATGGACAGGAAGTTGTGGATAGCTATGATCGCCTATATACTGAAGAGATGTAGTATATAGAAGTAGTTTTAATTATTGTGCAAAACATTAAACAACCCAAGTATTGGTCAAACTATTAAGCTGCTTATGAAATTACGGAACTTACAAAAAAATTGTTTACCTTATATGTAAACATGAGAGTAATTATTTTATCACGTGTTTTATAGTAAGAATCAGATTGTAGGGATAGTTTAATATTTGAAAGAAAGAAAAAGAAATTGGGAAAAGGAACTTCATTTTTTGTAAGGTGGCTTTTTATTGAAGGGAGACTACTCTTTACTAAAGTTTTCAAGGTTACTTTCAGAATGGCAATGTCACTTAATGTGCTTATAATCTATATAAAAACAAATGTATACATAGACATGTGCATTTAAACAGGCATTTATTTCTCTGTGCATTTTTTTGCTGCAGTTGAGTAGCTTTAATAAAAGTACTGAAAAAAATATCCGGAAGCAAAAGAAATGTTGATGCCTTACTTTGCTTGAAGCCATGTCACTGACTGATCGATGGGTTTGGATGGTTTCCAGCTGGTCCAAACACCAGTCGAGTTCTTCTAATGTTTCCAGCGCCATTTTGTAATATGCTTCATCTGAGAGGCAAAAGAAAAAGTAAGAGATTAAATATACAAAAAAGACTTGTAAAATACTAACAATTGTTTCTCCTAATTATTTATCTGTAATTTTTACTAAATCAAAAAAATGAAGAATATTTTGTCATGATTGTTTTTTATGCATAATTTTAACTGACAATTTTATTTAATGTTGTTGTTTCATTACTGTTTAATATTCTAATAGGTAAATACATTTGTTTGGTGTTATGCTAAAAGGAAAAATCCATTTTTAAAATGAAATTTCATATTTATAATTATTTTATAAATTAGGGATTTTAAATAAAACACTTTAAAATTACTAAAAACATTGGTTTATCATTTTTTTTCTTTTAAATCTCTTCATGTATTTAAAAAAAAGTCAAGTCTAGTAATGAGTGTAGATGGATACTTTTACAAAATAACTTTATTTATTGGAACTTTGTAATTCTTCATAATTTGTAAAAAGCAGATCTTTAAAATAAATAAGAAAAAGCTGAGCAAATAAAAGTTTCAAAAACTGCTTATTTCATTTTTTTGTCTTTTAAATGTAAGGGAGACAACTCGTTTCTTGAAACTTGTCTACTTTGCGATAAAAGACTTCTTAAAAAAAAAACAGTTACACACGCGGTATATGAAAAAAAAATCAGATCTTTGATAAAAATTAGAAACAGCCTCGATTGATATTTTACATAAAGAGAATTCTACATATTTCAAAAAGACACCAAACTAGTAAACAGAAACACAAATTTTCTGAAAAATATATAACTTACAAAGTTAAAAACAAAATCCAAGAAATCAATTAAATATTTAAATGAAAAGCCAATTATTAAATGCTTTTTTTTTTTTTTTTCATTTTTGAGATTAGGTATTATGATTCAATAATAGCTTTTTTTACCTAATTTTTATTTATTGCTTTTATGATGTCACTGGTTTGTTTCTTTCAAATTTCTCCCAATGTACATGACAACCAGTAAATATCAGGTTGGTATAAGAGATTGCAGCAGCATCTTTTGTATAATGTTAGAAAAATCTTAAATGTCTTCAGTTTATTCATTTCTTTATTGTTTGTGCAATCAGTCAATTGTATTAGACAATTTAGAAACCTTACAAATACAATTCAAAAACTCAAAAAATGAGTCCTATATGAAGTGACAGGAAGTAACATTTAAGTTATTTTCTTTCATTTTGACTGTTTTTCACTTAATACTATGCTCAAGAGCCACTCAAAGTAGGTTACTGAATGAGGTTGTTGAAAGTAGATAACAGTTGACTCAAGACTTGAAGAGGTTAAGATTGTAGTGATGGAGGAAGCATCCACTTGGGAGTCTGTTCCACAAAAATAATGGCTCATGGGTAGAAGCTATCTGAATGGAACTTCCTTACCAGTGGAGAGCAAATGGAATGACATTTGTATTGTGATGATGAAATGTTAGTCGCTAAGTTTTGGAAGTACTGAATGTTACTGCCATATGGAGCTAGGTCAAAGGTGAGATCAGCTGCCAGTGTTTAAACACTTGACTTTTTTTTTTTTTACAGCTTGACAATTTTGGAGAAGGTAATCTCTGGTAATGAAAAATATTTATTACAAGGATCCAAAACAAAAAAAATCTAGGACAATATTTAACATCTCAATCCTAATGAAATCGACAGTTCTGTGGTTAAGACGATTCAAAGGGATTTCTTGATGATGAATTGCTTGGATCACAATACTGAGTCCTGTAACCTATTAGGATCATAGGAGCACCACACATACTGCCACCATAGCAGCAGTGATATATATTGGGCGAGATAGACTAGTTTTCCTTCTATTTACCCATAGTTGGGGGAAGAAGAGATGGATTTATATCTTTCCCAAAGGTATTTGCATGCAAGTGAATTTACCTGAATTTGATCTCAGCTTTCCATTTCTTATTTTTTGAGCTGTTTTGCATTACACCACCCACACATCCACATGGTCTAAATCATGTGAGTGTGTAATACAGTGAACAATTGGCTCATATTTGATGCATTGAAAGAGAAAAGTGTTTTTCCAGAGCAAAGAAGTTGATTGGTGAATGTGCTACATGACAGTATCTGTTCTTGTGCCACAATTTATAGAACTCGAATGAGGAATTCTTTTGTAGGCAGTGTATTTTCCAAACCTGTCATTTGTTTCATTCCATACATTGTCTGATTAGCAGTTCCAACAAACTCAAGATCTTCAAAAATCAATCAAAGAATTCATTAAATTAAAACAAGAATTGTTCCTTTCTGATCAAATACAAAATTTACCCGTTAGATAGCTAGGAATTAATAAGGATGTTACATAATTTATATCAAGTATAGATGGTGTTGAATCCTTTTAAGATGACCCCCTTTTGTGAGTACTCCTATCTCTTTAGTAGTGTCCCAGTTTACTGTCAACAGGAGAGTTTCTTAGATGACAATAATGCTTAATTCTAGCTATGTGGTTTGCTATTGATTTGTTTGTAGTATTTAAATGACAAAAAAAAGATGTTATTGGAAACTTTTAGATTAACCTAATTTTGTAATTTTAATTATTTTTTTCTATTTCATAAATTATATTAGTGACAAATATTTAATAGTATTTACTACAGCCAACACAACGGAAGAAGTTTGAAGAACTAATTAATTTAAACACCGATGAACTCAAAAATAAATGAATATCAGTCTGAAAATAAAAAAAAAAGTTATAAAAGGATTATACGACAATGCTTGGAAATCAGTGAATATATATTTCATGTCTTTAAATGTATTTTCATTGTATGTCTTTGCTGCCCTATGCTGTCTTCACTTGCAGATTTCACAACTCATGTGACTACAGACTGTCTTGGGTATGATGATAAACTACATCTGTGTCCAGGGTAAGATGATAAACTATGTCCAACAGCAAGGCCTCTGATAAAGAGGTTTTGAGGAGTGTGGAACTGTTGGTGTTCCCAGGTCCACCCTGACCTGGGGTGGTAGCACCAGTTAGGGTCCAAGCTATGGGAAAATAGTTAAACCCCAAACTGAGGTAAAAAGCCTTATGAAAGTGTAAAAATAGGTTTTAATACCAGAAATACTTTGTAAAGAATTATCACCAGAAATAATTTTTTTCAAAGAAAAAACTATTACTAGTAATATATTTTTGAAAAAAAAAATATTACCAGCAATACGTTTTTTGTTTTTTTTTAAATATTACCTGCAATACATGTTTTAAAATAATATTACTAGCTATACATTTTTGAGGAAAAAAATATTACCAGAAATAGATTTTTGACAAAACAAAATATTACCAGGAAAAAAAGTTATTGGCATTAAATAACCCACTCAGGTTGATATGCCATAAAACAAAAACCAAACCAAACCAAATCATGTGACTAAAGAATTGCAGAAATTGTGTTTTTTATGGGTCAAAAGATCCTCACCCTGCTGAAGAACCCAGGCTGCTTGTGAATGGAGGTTTGTATCAAGTCACCATCACTATACAGATTGCAAACCAAGGCTAAAGAGCTTGTATCTACCCATTTATACACCAACCAGTTTTGAATTTGGTGGTATCTCTCTCCTAGACTAATGACCAACCAAGGCTGAAGAGCTTCTTCATTTGCACAACTATCAATGGTTTCTGGACAATTTTCTCGACATAATTTCACTCACAAATTAACCTATCAATGCTGAATGCAGCGATCATCTTCCCAAGAAGATATCAAGAATTCAACTTCTTCACTCGTTGACCACAGTGAGATTCAAAACCCAGATCTCATGGTCAGGATGCTAACACTTAAGCAATTTGGCCATACTCCACACTGAATCTTTTTTTTTTTTTTCTATCCTTATTCAAAGTAATGACTGAGATCACAATGAAAAAAAGAGAAGAGTGAATAAAACTTTAAAAAAAAATCAAGTTAAGTCTTTTCTGAGTTTATAAATAGAGATTCTAAAATTATATCTTTTGTAAAAACAAAATCATTTAATAACTTAATTTTTCAATGGATGTGTGCACGGACACAGAAAATATGAGACACAAGGTAACAAACTAATTACCTGAATTGAATTCATTGGTTATCTATTCTTTGCCGTTATCAGTGCTGCTCGGATGGAGTCAAGACTACCTTTGTCTTCATTGTTGTAACCTTTCCAAGGCATGTATTAAAGAAATGCATCAGTAACTACATTTCAAACCAAATCTTTTTTTTTTTTTTGTGGTGGATTCATCTGTGTGTTTGAATGAGTGTAATGTTTTAAGTATATGCCTCTTCCAAAAATATTAATGATGATTCGCTGACCTTTGAGTTCTACACTATCATTTCCAAAAGCTGATTATCATCATATCTGAAATAATATGTGATGCACATGTAGATAATATTCACTGTTTTGACAGGGAATATTTAGTTCACAATGGTAGTCCATAATAGTCAATGCAGGGGGGTGAATATAAAAATCCAAGATGTCATGAAGTTTAGCACTATAGTGGTATTTGTTAAAATTTTGCAAGTATTTTGGTACAAGTGTACTTGTGAGCATACACACCAGACTCTTATTTTCTCTCTTTGTTTCACTGACTGGACGAGTAACCCCATGTTGAAACAGAAGGTGAAATAACGCCATGGTGAGAAAAGGGAACATAAATCCTCTTCTCTTAAATCGATTCTGGTAAGCTCGACAAGATCATACGGCTGGGGGTTTACGAGCACTGCAAGCATCCAAGAAAATTTTAAAATTTGACCAATTAAAGGGGAATTTCCAGGTCATATGAAATGGGTATTAGAGCATGTCACAAAGCCAACATTAGCTACTTCAACCCACTGGCTTAGGATTCACTAGCTTAGGATCACTAAAATGACCTTACTTTGATAAAAAACAAAAAAACATTGATTTTGTTGAAAAATTCAATCAACAAAAAGTTGCTTTGGAGGGCCCTGAAGCTTAAGCTTCATGAGTCTCATAGTAGATCCACCACTGGTTCTAACTCCAACATATGAAAAAACAAAAATGTGGGAGATCAGACTAAAAAT